CTCTTGATTCCCACAGGCTAGTTATATTCCCTAGAGTATAGTTACTGTGTACAACTGATGACTTCTACAATAAATCTGTTTCAAGCAATCAATCCTAGCACCACATGTTGTGCTAGGTGTGTTGTGAAGGCTGTACCTCCATTCTCTTTCAGCAATGTTCTTTTCAGTATATGCACCATGTGCAGCAGCAGATCAGGAATGCAGAGCTAGAAGTATGTTCCTTGTTGATGCGCTCAAACTCCTATAGGTATGCTAGCACTTTAGTTTATTCAAGGTGGCAAAAAAGATGTCCCTGTCATTGGGTTAATGGTTTATTCCAGATGTGTCTAAATATTCATTGCATTGCCACATTTCTCTTTCTGCATAGGATCTTTGGCTGCCCTAGCACAGCCTGAAAGCTTTGCCTGGGCAGATGTGCTGGTTTGTATCTAATTGCTTTATTCTGAAATTCTGATAAGCATCATCTATGCTATAATGTTTAGGCCTTATAGGAGCCAGCTTCTGTGAACACTGTAAAGATTCCCCTTAGGATCTAAAGGCTTTGCTCCTGAAGTGCTCTGGGGTGTGTGTTATAATCCTCAGGCACCAATAAAAGCCCTTTGAATTCTCTCAGACACTCCAAGGGGAATACTGTAGAGCAGCTCAAACGGATACATGCCCCATGGGGATACCACCGTATTTCTAGCAAGGCTAAGTGGAAGTGGCAGTGGGTGGTTCAGCAGATGTTCAATGCTGAACTCTTCAAGCCATAGTTTGAAGACAAGAATTGAATTAGCATGTATTGTTTGAAGAATGTAATGTTGCCTCTGCTTATCTTCATTTTCATGGATCGGAGCACTACATGGTGCCTTTGGGAAGGCTCACTCTGGAAAAACTCCTGAGTGCCTTGAGTTATACTTCTTTGCATAGCCTGAATTGCCCAAATTACACCATTCAGCACATCACAGAACCTATTGCATTTGAGAGCTTTCTTTTAGGATCTACAACTAACCAGACCTTCACTTCATTTTGAAAGGTGCTCAGCCTGTTAGACTATCTCAGATGTTGTCTAGTATATGCCTAAAGACCCAAAGCCCTCAGAAAATGCAGCATGTTCATAGCATTGTCCTCTAGAAGGCAGGAGACTGCTGCTTCCATCGCTGGATGGCATTTAAACCCCTGTTTCCTAGCTGCTAGGCTGCTCCCGTGCCCACAGTAAGGCCTTACAGGGAAGCATTAAGGCTTTGCTGAGCAGCAACACCTAGTTCTTAGGGCACATAGACGAGGGAAGAGTAATGGGGTGCAGTCCTCTCTCTCAGGGCAGTCTGTACATTTTAACCAGGGACTGTTTAGAGCAAATTGACACAGCTTAAGATGTCCAGAGGATCCTTCTGTATCCCAGATTACTTGTTTCTCGATGAGCTTAAAACCCAGTGTGGATTTGACAGTTGCCTAGAAATAGCACCCGAACTGTCAGGTCCCATTTCTCCTGTAGGTTTGGCTTCAGCCATGGATGTCTATACTACTGTTTCCACTTGACTCTGCAGATGCCAGCTGAGTCATTTGCAGTTCTTACAGAGTCCCCAGAAGCAGCTGCAGCTATGGAAGACTTGGCTTTCTATCACAAGGTGCCGGTCAGTGGAAGCTGCAAGTACATGCAGCCCTTGATGAAGCTTCTATCTGAAAGGAGGACTGGTTTCTTGGTGGGCAATCAGAAGCTGCACTTGCTATCCCAAGTGCTGGATTTCAGTCTGTGACAGGCACTGGCAGCCTCTGTGAGTTGAGAATAACTCATACCTTCAAGGACCTGACAGTGAGAAAAAGGTGAAGTGCTATGCTCAGCAATGATAGCTGGGCACTGTTCACAAGAGGTTTGCAAAGGTTAGGGAAGCCCTACATGGGCTGAGGTTTTCCAGGCATTGCTGCCAGTATGTACTCCAAAGGGTTTCCCATCCCACTCTTATGCCTCAGATAAACTGTAACTAGCCACTGAACTTACATCTCAGGCTTGTATCCTGTATAGGCTTAGCCCTTCTGTGACTGTTCCTTTAAAGTTCCTCTCTGGTCAGTTACATATCAAAAGCCTCAGCTACTTTCTTGTCCAATGTCAAGCTCAGGCTCCACTACAGATATGTCAAGTTTCCTGAAGGGATGGTAGCAGGACAATTTGGTATGATGGTCAGGACTGGTATTTCTGATCCATAACAGTTTAATTCTGACAGAACAAGTACGTGACCCATCACAGAGAAATTTACTCTCTTCAAAAGAGAAACCCCACTTTGGCAAGGAAGAAAAAAATCCAGCAAAATCCTAAACTCTAAAAACATCTAAAAAAGAGTTCTGTTGGTGGAAGCAATGGGTGGTAACAGGGTTCTGTGAGTTTATCATTCCAGTGTGTGGTTTTGAGTTCAGAATTGCCCTAATGAGCTGCAGTAGGTAGATTTTCCTGTGGCTCCATACACAATTGGAAAACACCCACTTCATCTTGCTTGTGCTGTTTTATTTAAATTCAGTTAGCTTAGTCCCATTGCAGTCAGGTTTATTTAATGTTTCTTTATTAGCTAAGCACTGCTGGATGCTCCAGCACAATATGCTTTATGGTAAGGAATGAAAACCACAGGAGCAGGCTGTAGCATTAGCAGTATTCCCCAGCATTGCCCTTTTGCTCCTATTGAGCATTCTGTTTTTCTGTGGAATAGTAACAAGCCTTCACTGACAAGAGGCGAGGACAAGCATGACTGAGGATAGGGAAACCGCTTTGACTTCATATCCTTAAGCTCCACAAACTGCTCTTTGCTGACTGATGACCTGATGCCACTCATCTCTGTTCTTTTTCTGGCTCTGTCTTGCCTTGCTGATTCATTCTGGGTGAAGAACCTCCCATATACAAAAGGCATACATCTCAGCATTGCTTGCACATTGGGAAGTGCTATTTCAGTTGCTAGGGGATCTGCTTAGAAAATAAAGCCAACTCTTAAGAATGGCATTTTCATTTCAAACAGTCTTACCTTGTTCTTATATGTTGTTTCACCTAATTTTCTGAAGAATCATACCCTGGTTTTGTTTTTCTATTAATATTGAGGGGAAGCCTTTATTGAGACTTAAGACTGCTTGAGAACTCAACTTGCATGCATGCATATACCACAAACTGAGTCAATATGTTGCCTAAGTTCCTGGAGAGGAAGAAAGAGAACCGCTACAAAATCTAGAGGCAATTGTGCTGCACTTTTTGGTTTTGGCCCAGGTTCAGTGTTTGAGTAGAACATACGGAATACAATTAAAAAAATTGAGCAGTATTCTTGTGAAAATGGTCAGATATGTCTGGTAAGAAAATCAAATGGATCAGCAAATGTTCTATGTATGACTCTTAAGTGCAGCTGGAGAGGTCATCTGTTTATAAGCTCAGCCAATAGCTCTAGCAATGGAAACCAGGGATTTGGATGGAAACAAAGAATTACTAACAAAGTAATTGACCCCACATTAAAAATTTAGAAAATACAGATCCATATTGCTGTATCTGAGGTTAAGTAGAATGCAGCACTGGTAAGAACTGAAATAAAAGTCCTTGGGGTGTATTAGGAAGAACAGTCTATGCTTGCAACTAGTTTTAGCAGTTAAATGGCTCAGCTCATTCTCTAATACCTAATGATAATGTCTTCAATTTCACACACTGATTTTTAAACAATGCATGTCAAAATAAAGTGAGTTCCGTAGTCAAATTAGCACAGTCACAGATCTGCCACCTTCTCTACACCTCATTGGAAACTCCACACTCTTGGAGCAAGCTAATTCCATTATCCTCAAGGTGACTGTTGCAATGGGGCTTAGATCACTCTGCCCACGACACACATATGAAGTACCAGCTGGTCATCAGCTATTAGAACTATAACGCAGCACAGCCCATCCTCTAGCAACTGCTCCAGACATGTTCCCTGAAAATCTCTCAAAACTCTTAAGTACTGCATTTCCCTTGTCAGCAACATCTTGCCAAATAATCTCCTTACTGGATTACAGAGAAACACCCTCTTAGTTTTTGCAGTAATTAGTATTAAATTCAGTGTAGTTTTAGATGAGAAGAGGGTAGGAGGAAGACCAGAGGAATTTAGTATTGGCAGAAGGTTCAGTATGGACAACCCTGGAACCACTAATTCACATAAATTGTGAGACAAGGTCTGTGGGGAGGAGTTTGTCCCTGCCTGTCTTGCTCCATGGGAGATGGCGCTGGGAGGGAAGGAGAATTTGGGTACTATGACTACTGTACCTGCTACAGCCTTCACGCTCAAGTACACTGGTGTGGGGTCACACCGACATTATATTTACTAAAGACAAGCTCTTGAGGCACCTCAGTTAGTCAGGTCCATGTGGCTTTTCTGTGTCTGGTAAGGGAAATGGTAAAACAGAAACTTTCCTTATGCAACCTAAGCCAGATACCGCCATTAAAACCTGGCACCTGAATGTATGTGTGGTCAAATGCTACAGAAGAAAGGGTCTGCTGTACATAGCAAGGTTGCTTCATTGTGCTGAATATGATACGACCTTGGAAAAACAGCATCTGCGCTAGCAGAGCATAATCCAAGTATGCCATAAGAATCTACAATGAAATACAGGCCTAGTGAGAAGTTAGTATTTTTGTTTGCTGCTTGCTTTCCCACATTTAGGAAATGCCATATGAGGAGGTCTTGGTAGAAAAGCACCAGCAGGCCTGTCCATTTACCCAAGGACTGCCTGGAGAACAGAACGGCCAAAGCCTTTGAGGGCCATGAATCTCTTCCCTGTTCTCTGCTATGACGCTGACAAGGGTTATGTCTAGCAGGGCTCTTTGTGCTTGTCAAGCAGTTGTGTAGTCACTTGCAGATGTGCATGTTTCTGACTGAAGAAGGTGCTCCCTATGTTTCAAATAGCTCTCTTCTGAGCAACAGGGAATTCACCCTGCTGAGCTACTGGTGCAGATGGGGATGGCCCTCCCACTATGCATGTGCTGTGGTACTGTTAACCATGGTCCTTTTTGGCTTGCTCCACAGATACTATGCGGGAAAGAGATCCCCCGCTGGGTGAACCGCCTGGCCTACTTCAGCTCGTGCATCCCCTTCCTCCAGAGCTGCCTCCCCAAGGAGTGGCTGACCCCAGCAGCCCTGCAGAGCCACATCAACCTCGGCCTCCATAAGGAGGAGCAGGAAGACACAACGGATGAGGAGTCCCCCTCCACCTCCACAGCCCCCTCAGCCTCAGGCACATCGAGAACCTGTAGACATACCCGGGTCTAAACTGTGCCCCATATGCCCTCAAATTAACACCCTTCTTTCTCTTGTACTATTTCTTTCTCACACCCTTTTGCACACCTTGGTTTCTCTCTTCTCCAACGGACAACACAGGAGTGGGAAGACCCTTTCTATTATGGAGGTGAAGCTTCAGTCCCTTTTCCAAGGGTTTCCACTATAGTTGCTCAGCAAAATGACTGTGAACCCCAGTGCTGAACTGAGGAGCATGGCAACTAAACTGGATTCTCTTCCCAGGGTTCCTTGATCATGCTCCTTGATCAACAGAGAACTGCTGGCTCTCTTGGGCATAAAGGCATGCATACGGGCAAGGGGGCACCATACTGTGATGTTCCTTCTCTGGAACTGTTTTATCTTTTTATCTCTTTCCCCACCCACGTGAGCCCAGCAGCCTCCTCCCTGTTTTGGCTGGGCTTGCCATTCCCTTATGACAAATCTCCTGCCCACACCCAGTGAAGGAAGCAGAGCCAGAACTCAACCTGCTCATCTCTTAGACCAGCAACAAGCTCCACTCAGCCCCATCCACTTTGTAATTATCAGGTTTCTAACTCATGTGAAGGACAAATGGAAGGTGCTGCTGTTCTACAGCCACCAGTTTTCAGTACTCAAGTTTAAGAGCTTGAATGACTGTCCTGCTCTTGAAAATAATAACAAAGAACCTAGAAAATGAATGCGTTACCATGGCTTTTCTTTGGGTTCAAAAAGAGGATGGGGCTAGTGCTTAGAGGCAGCTACTAAATACTTGCAGAGATGACTTTTGACCATATTGGTGCTTTCTGGCACAGACTCCTCTCATTTCCCCTAATTCTAGGCAGAATTTCCCCCCAGATTCCCTGGGGAATCTCTCTTCTAGCTGACATATGCTGGCTGTCTTTGGGCCAGAGGAGGAGAGAGTATCTGTTGGGAAGGTATTTCCTTCAGCTTTTCCTCCTGCACCCACAGACCTAAAACTTGTCTCAGAGCCACCCGTCCCTAGTCTATTTTCGAGCCAACCCAAGAAGATAAAATAAAAGCAGTGAACCCAAAGAATGTCAACTGTTTCCTTCTCCTCCCTTTTTGGAGGTGGAGGGGGAAACTTAAGGGCACATCTGGAAAGCATGGATGACCCTTCCAATGCATGGGACACCATGGTGCTTTCCATGTGTGCACTATTTCAGTGGCATGGAAAATGGGCACTGGCCTCTCCAGGCTGGCTCTTGACAATAATCTGGTCCTTGCATATATTTATGTTCACTCTGACAGCTGATGAGAAAGCAGAGGAGGAGGAAAGGACAAGTATCCCAACTCTTCCACTCAGTTACCTCACTAGGAGTTCTAGTCACAAGATGGATGAGAGAATTAAAGAGGAAATCCAGGCCTCGTTCTCCCCCTTGCAACTCCTCTTGGCTACACAAAGGAGGATGAAAAAGGAACAGGCACAGTGTTGAAAGGGGGTTGCCATTTTAGAAATCCTGTTTTCAACAGCTATTACCAAGTCAGGGCTTCCATCCTCCACCAAGAAAGAACTGCAAGCTCTTAAAATGGGTGGCTGTTTCCTTTTATTGGTCGCAATAGCATGCTAAGTCCAACCAGCTGTTTCTTTAGCTCAGGTATACAGAAGTGTGTGCTTTCAGGGCTGATGGTCTTGGCTATGATGTACATCATGTCTGCACAGAAAGTGCTTAAGGGTTGTTGCATGTTCACACTCTCCACAGCAGAGGGCTGTGGAGAGATGCATGGATGGAAATATAACTCACAGGATGGCCTCACTTCACTGCCTCCTGAAGTGATGCACATTTGGGCAACAAAACCTTTACAATATGCCTCTCATTTTCATCCTCTGAACAAATTGCTGCAAGTTCTGTACTGAACTGAAGTCATGTTTTTTATTAACCTTAGTTATTCACAGCCAGTACTAAATTGTGAGCAATTCTGCAGCTCCTGGTATTCAGTCCAGCACCAATCTTGATTACCCTTGCTTGTCCAGGGATATTTAATAAGATTTCCATCCTGCTGACTGGAAACCACATTACACAATGTACTGTTGCACTCTGTATTCCCTGAAGTCATGGTCATGCTGCCTAAACCAGCAGTGCAGGCTTCATTTGTCTGAAGTTCCCAGGGTGCCTGCCAATAGCCAACAGCACATTACCTGCAGCGAATTTTAATATCTCCTTTTAGGTCCTTCCCTGAAGAAAAGTGAGTTTTTGTCCAGATCAGGGAAACTGCAGTCAGAAACATCCAGTTCCTGATGTGACAAAAGCCAGCCAGCCCTCACCCTGAGCTCTAGATAAAGTACCATGTATGTATCTAGGAGACAACTAGGGCTCCAGGGGCATGTTTCACATGGAAAACCTTCTCACCGTATTTCCCAAAGTAAAAAATGCTTAACTCACTGTATGGTAACCTGGACAAGAAAGCTACATTCAGCATCCTTAGGGACATGAATATGTGCTTGAAGTACTGGGAAGAACACTTGGGCAAGCTGGCAATGTCATACACCCCAGATGTTTGTTCATCTACTGTTACGCTTGTCTGTCTGTTTATGGCAGTAGGGGTCACATCAAGGAGGCATCAAACCTCTGCTGTAAATCAAAACCAGAATATATTCCAAACTTCAAAAGCATTTCTCCCCACTCCTCCCTGTTCAAAGTGACCAACCAACAATGACAAGAACAAAGGGACACTGTGGAAATAAAATATATATTGATGAAAGCTTTACCTCTGTAATTTAACAGCATTTTAGATTATTAAACATGAAGACATTTTAAAAGCCTAACTTACCATTCATCTCTGGCACAGCATGCTTATTTTAGGCACTTTTCTTACACTTCCAATTATTACAAAGTAATTGTTGTTATATGATTATATCATATTTGTATTTAGTTACACGTTCTCTTGCTGTTTTTGAGCATAACACAATGAGGAAAGTTTTAGGTTATTGATAAGTTATCACTTATCAATGAAAACAAAAGAGCAGTTTATGAACATTAGCAAGAGCACCCCATGGCACTGGCACAAACTCTTAACCCTTCTTCTTACTGCCAGGACTTCTGATGCTGTTTTGAAAGTTAGAAAGAGATGACACCAACTCTGTACATGGGCATCAGCAGCGGTGGGTTAAGAGAGAAGTGAGAAACTCTCTTCTGAGCACATCTGTATGGAAACATAGAGTGGTTTGGATTGGAAAGGACCTTAAGATCACCCAGTTCCAACCCCCCTGCCATGGGCAGCGACATCTCACACTACACCATGTCACCCAAGGTGCTGTCCAGCCTGGCCTTGAACACTGCCAGTGTTGGAGCATTCACCACTTCTTTCTATAATAGCAGCTCTCAATTTCAGGCCATTATTCTTGGTCTCCTCTTCCGGAGTCTGTGATTTGAGGTGTATATCTTCCAAACAAAGTTTTAAAAGGGGCATTTGCTCTTTCAGAGGCTCTGGGTGAGCAGGTTCCCCAGCAATGAGCCTGTGCTCTGTGGTGAGGTCATTTCTAGTCTCAGCACAGCGTGGGGATGGACACAGAACTATTCTCTTGCTCTCAATACTCCCAGCTGAGAGTTTGTGTTACTGGAATTCAGACTGATGTTGCCTTCGTGCTACTGATGAACTCAAGAAGCAGTCATTTCCTGCTTCAGTTCTGCTTATTTGTCTCTACCCTGAAGAGGCTCTCAGAACAAGTTAGTGGCCACTGGATTGCAATAATGTTAGCTTATCCTTATTATATGTGTTTGATTTTCTCATTTTAGTTTGTATGTCAGTGGTGGCTTAAAGTAAAGTACCTCCACCAATTCTTCAATGCGATTAATGGAGAAAACCAAAGCAAGTTATTGTGTTTCATTTTCAAATGGTTTAAAATCACTATCTTGAGGCAGCTGGTGCCCTGTTCCACTCTGTCCTTGCTGTGCTCCCCATCAAGCAATGGTTTGGGCTGTGCAAAGGCTGTAGTGACTCAGGAAGCATTTAAAAGCACTTTTTCTCCCAGCTATTGCCACAGGCTACCTGAACGTGGCAGAACCTTTCGCTATCGTAATATGTGAAAACATCGCCGCCCATGCCTGGAGAGTATGTGCCCTTACCTCTAGCATGTCAGTGCTCCACTGCTGTGCATGTGGCTGCCGCTCAGGGGTGTGCGAGTGGATAGCACTGCACTTTTAACTGCTAGCAGGAATGAACGCCTATCGGCTATAAATCCCAGACACAGACTGTCCATTAGTGTTGTAGCCAGCTTTGTTTTGGGAAGGTGTTTTGAGGGCCGCTGCGGTTGGGATAGGGAATAACACTGAAGGAAAACGCAGCCCGGCTCTGCCCAAACCGACTCCCGCTCCAGACGCGCCCCGGTGCGCGCAGCCGGCACCGCAGCGATCGGAACCCGGCTTCCCGCGCACGTTGCCGCGCCGCAGGAGCCATGTGGCAGCAGACCCGGTCCCCGCCGGAAGCGCCGAACCGGGCCCGAGGGCCTGTGCGGAGCAGCGGGGTCCGAGCCTCCTGAGGGGCCATATGGTGGCCTTGGAGGTCCCTCTGCTGGCGAGCACCGCAGGGAATGCGCTGGCACCAGGAAGGAGGCGCGGCCGGGGCCAGGCCCCACCACGGCGGGGCGAGCGGCCTGCTGCCGGGGCCTGCGCCCTCCGGTGCACGACGGGCGGTGGCAGGGCGCAGGCCCCGTCGGACGCTGTGGGGCAGTGTGAGGCCGGTGCACTACGGGGATGGTCCGCATTGGTGTCGCAACAACAGGCGATTCATTCCTGGTGACTGGGGGAGGAGAGGGACGGTGCGGCCGCCTGCCACGCTTGTAGGGAGCTGCAGGAAGAGCCTTGCTGTGCTCCCGGGGAGGAGTGAGGGGAGGCGGAGTGGTGTTTTGGCTTTAAAACGCTGCTCATGCGTTTGTCTGACATTAGCTTTTCAACAGATCTGATCTGATCGTCTGATAACGTATGCGTCTGAGTAAATGGAAAGGATTTGAGTTAAACCAGTTGATAAGTTATAGTTACAGTTGTGAGCAAAGTGATAGGTGAGGCATAACTTTTCAAATAGTTAAGGTTAGAAACAATGAATAAAGTCAAAGGAATGAAACAAAATTATCTTCAGTAGGGACTTTAGTGGTAGGACAAGGGATAATGGTGATAACTGTGAATAAAGGGTTAACATTATGCCTGCTTGCTTAAGCCGTCACTGTGCTTGGTGAAGCAGAACCATAGGAGTCAAAGTTGCTAGAATGGTGAAGCAGAATTGTAGGAGTTACAGCTGCTAGGTATAATTGTAGTAGATAAGATTCATAGCTTAACATTTAAGACATTCTTGTTTAAATAGTATCCATAGAAAGAAAAGGAACAAAAGATAATCAGAGTAACAAAATTTGCAAACTTGACAAGTTTCTACTTTAAGATACATAAAACTGGCTTGTACTGAACCTGAGGTTTGGATAGGAGCTGAAACCATATTGAGTCTGCGTGAAAGCAAGAGGTTACTCGCGGTGATGAAGAGGAACTACAGGCCTTCATCCTCACGACCCCCTAATGACCACCACCAGGAGGCATGCAAGCACATCAATGGGACAAATGCCAGAAAACTAATTATAATACTAGAGGGGAATAGGTTTTGCATATGTATTAGGTGTGAAGCAATCTCATGTTTATATAATCATTATATGTAATACAAACAAACTGAGTGGCGAAGGAAAGGTGTGCATGCCTTTGGAGGAGCAATCCCCCATGCACCTCAGTGCTGAACAAAGCATACCTACTTTACAACTTTAACGAGCTGTGGAGTCTATCGGCGTATCAATGGGTTCAAACTTAAATAAGGAGATTTAGGTTAGATATAAGGAAGAAGCTCTTCCCTTTGAGGGTGGTGAGGCCCTGGCACAGGGTGCCCAGAGAAGCTGTGCCTGCCCTATCCATGGCAGCATTCAAGGCTAGGTTGGATGGGGCTTGGAGCAACCTGCTCTAGGGAAGGTGTCCCTGCCTGTGTCAGGAGGGTGGAACTGGATGAGCATTAAGGTCCTTTCCAACCCAAATCATTCCGTGATTCTATCCTAAGTACCTGTGCATATTAGAGGAAAATCTAAACAACCCAGGTGCACTTACGGATAAAAACTCAGGGAGGAAGACAAAAGCAGCAGCCAGGACGGTGTGATTTCTGTTTGTGTAATTCATGTCTCTTTTCCATATATATAATTGGTTTATAAAAAGTAAGCAAATTTCAAGGTGGTTAAAGAGTAGGTTAAAGGATCATTCTACCTTTTAATAATGCTACTAGAGAAATTAGTGTCATCCTCCTCAAAGATTCAGCAGCATGCCTCAGAAAACCTCAGCCAGGCCAGCCTTTAGTTCCTGGCTACTGGTGAAGGGTTTCCTGTTCTGTGAATAGTGTACATTAATTCTTGGCTACCAGTCTGTAACTTACCAGCATTTATGTGTGTGTGGGCACTGCATTCACATGGTTGGGAATAGTTTTGCCTGTTTAGTGGAAAAATTACATAGTTCTGCAAGTCCTGCTGCTTTTAGAAACAATAAATGCAGAAGGCTCCCTCCCCTCAGTGTAGTTTGGATGAGTATGGTGCTTTATCCTCAGTGACCTGAATATTGGATAGCATACTTTTATGAAAAACATACATTTTGACTCCCTGGGCAGGATAATTATAACAATTCTTGTTCACAGGCCATAGCTGCAAACCTAATATGTAGCAAGAAATCTGCCAGCATTGTGTAGAAAGCAGTTACCAGTGCAGCAACAGCCTGCCATGAAGGATTGTAACAGCAATGCAGTATGATAAAATAGAGGGCTGTTGGGGTTTGATTTTGTTGTTTGGTGTTTTTTCTGTTCACATTCACATTTGGACTATCATCTTAAAGAAAGTAAAGCATGTGCAGCCAAGGAAAGCAAATATCTGTACACTGATAATTCAGGGACATAGATGTATTTTTGTGTCTATATATTTTTGAAGACACTTCTGTTTCTCCCCTTACTATGTAGGTGTGCATTTACACGGGAAGGGAAGAGTAGTGACTTTTTAGGTTTGAGCAGCAGGGCACTACCTGTAAACAACTGATACTTTAAAGTGATTATCATCAGGTTTCAGAGTTAACATGATGCAGTTCTAAGGATGGAGGCAATGCACACCTGCCAGCCTTAAAGAGGCATAAGAGACACTGCTATCATCAGAGATCATAGTGAAGCTGTAAGACTAAGTAATCTGAAGAGCACTTTGAAGTCAATTGAAAAGCACTTCACTAGTTTGTAAGGCATCATGGTGGAGCACAGGAGCAGAAGGACATACCAGAGCTGAAGGAAAGGTAATGGATACAAGCAGCAGCTTATGACAGTGTGTTGCCTGCACTTTGTGGTCTTTGGGGGCATACACATCAAGGGAGGTCCATTTGCCATAGAATCATAGAATAGTTAGGGTTGGAAAGGACCTTAAGATCATCTAGTTCCAACCCCCCTCCTGTGGGCAGGGACACCTTATGCTAAATCATATCACCCAAGGCCTTGTCCAACCTGGTCTTGAACACTGCCAGGAGTGGAACATTCACAACCTCCCTGGGCAACCCATTCCAGTGCTTCACCACCCTAACAGGAAAGAATTTCCTCCTTATATCCATCTAAACTTCCCCTGTTTAAGTTTTAACCCATTACCCCTTGTCCTATCACTACAGTCTCTAATGAAGAGTCCCTCCCCAGCATCTCTATAGGCCCCCTTCAGATACTGGAAGGCTGCTATGAGGTCTCCACGCAGCCTTCTCTTCTCCAGGCTGGACAGCCCCAACTTCCTCAGCT